TCAAGGCCCTGCCCTGCAACAAATAAAAACTAAAATAATGATACACACATGGCCATCAGGTTGAGTAAACCACAATATGACTGTAAGGTAGAATTATATGCAGATGCATACCACAGAAGAGTTTTTATGACATAGTAGTCATAAGATATTTGGAAAATAACATAAGTAGAACAATCAGTACAGAAGGAGTCTGTAACAGAGGGTGACTAAAACATGGCTGAAAACTCCAAGATAAGAGTAACTATGACAGCATCCTCTTCCTGGACATTGAAGCAGTATCTTCACAAGAAATTTCACCATCAGAAAAAGCACTTCACTAGGAACTCTCCATTCACCAGTTCTTTCCCCCACTGGCCCTGCTCCTCCTTCCCTCCCCAGCAAAACCAGAAGAGGGATGTTCTGACCCAGGGACCACTGACCTGAGACTGGCCACATGTCGCAAGCATGCTCCCTGCTACAGGCAAAGATTTTGTGTGGGTGTGGGAGTGGATTGGGGCTCTGGCTAAAGGGAGCCAGCAACTGCTCTTGCAGAACTGAGAGCCCCAGGTTTTTACCTAATTGCTGTGGGGTTCCCCCAATGGCCACAAGCATGGTTCCCAAAGAGGCTGTGTATCTGGTACATCATTCTCTGCAGACCATGCTGGCCTGGTCCTTGTGGGCCAGATGGTGGCCAATTTTACTCAACTGGTGACTGACTGCTGAGTTCCTCCTCCAGCTGGTCGTGTTGCCCTGCACAGATGGACTGACCTCAGGATAGATAAGAGGGACTTTTAGTTCATGAGCTGCTGGGAAAGCACCAGGATAGGGTGGAGGAAACATATGCTGGCTTCAGTGGGCAGTGAGCCAGGCCAGCCCTTTACAGAGCCCTGGACAAAATGTTTCTTATATTATCAACATATCTACATTTAGAGCTGAGTAGAATCCGACCCAAGTGTTAAGAGAGCAAACAAACACAAGATGTTAAGGCACAGGGTTAAGAGCGCAAAGAAAGATGAAGGAAGAGGTGACCAGCCCTCTGCCTCATTCTTGTCACCTACCAGGCATCTGTGGACTTGAGGGAAGAGTCCATGATTTAGGCAAAAGGGCTTTCGGTTGTTACAGAGCAGCCTATTATCACACCAGCTAGAGGCGCTGTTTACGGCAAAGCTAGTGGAAACTAATAACTGAATGCCCAGCTGCGTGAACTCCGTCAGCAGTGACTTAAGCCAGTGCAGTGAGGGGGCTTTTTTAGAGTTTGTTGTGGTGGCAGTGGTAACACTTTCTCACTTATGCATTCTTCTTGTTTGTGTGGTTTATCAGAGACTGGTGATGGCTTGGCCAATACATGCCTGCTACAAAGGGTCAGAGTTTCCTGCACCCAGGGGCTTGTTTCTCCATTTGTCCTACCCCCGTCCCACCATGCTCATCCCTAGCTGTCCCTATAAAACCCTTTTGCAAACCTGAGTCCTTTAGGGTGGTCTTTGTTGGCAAGTGCCCCCATCTTTGGTTTTCTGTGTTCCAAAAAAAAAATTCTCTCTTGCATGGATGACATGTCCTGAGTTACCAGCCTTTTCACATCAGGGGTGGGGGGTGATGAACCTGGGTTTGATGTGGTATCTGTGAGTAGATGCACAGGCTGGCTGGGAAACGCTCTGCTTCTGGGGTGTTGGCTGCATGTGAGTCAGCGTCCCCATGTGTCCCCTCTCACTATGGAGGAGGACACTTTCCCACCACACTCCTCTTGCTTTACCAGTGGTAGGCGACAGGCTCACCTATTTGACTGAACCTGGGAAGAGGTAATGTTTATGTTCACGAAGGCCCTCAGCAAGCAAACCCTACAGGCCACAGGTCCAATTGTGAAGCCTGTAGAATTGATCCGGCGAATAATAAAGAGCTTGCCTCTATAGAAAAAGACATAGTCCTCTCTGAAAATCCTCACTGGTCACTCAGGGAGTCTAGGACACAAAGCCAGAGCACATTTTGTCTTTTGCACTAATGAAGGATTCAAAAGACACAAATCAAATCAGTAAACAGTTATTTAAGAAACCAGCTGACCCCTATAAACATAAGGTATACCTCAAACTCACAGGGCATCCAAGTGGGCTGCCCCCCCCCCCGTTTTGCAGGTCTCTACATTCCTAAGATAGCTCTCCCCTGCTCACTCTGCATTTGCCACACTTTAAACTTTGACTTTCCACCTTATCAGTCCTGACTCCCCCATTTTCTACTGAGCGCCCCACTTCTTTATTCTCCACAGGAATGAGGACAAAGAGGACTCTAAGAAAGGTGGAGGGTCATTACAGGGGACCCCAGCCCTCCCAACGCCACCCCCCAGCCAGCTGCAACAGGGCCACACCCACCAGGAGGAGCTGGATGCCAGCCAGCCCGCCCATGGAAGCCAGCACCAGACATAAACACATCCCCCAGGGACCTCTGCACTCCACACTTATTGTCACTGATGATACGGTATCAAAGGACAGACAGTTGTCATTTCAGAGCAGTGGAATTATTTTCTTTTTTCCACTCACCTTCATTTTCTAAATTGTCTACAATGAATATTCTTTATAAGGAAAGGTTGGGTAAGAATACATATATTTAATGTGAGATGCAGGAAAGTTTTAATTCTTTACTATTTATTTATTTATTTATTTATTTTGTATTTTAGGGAAGGGTCTATAGAGTGTTCAGGGTCTCACTACTAGATCAGACTCATAGTGATCCTCGATGTTTACAGGCTCCCAAGAGCTGGGATTATAAGCACATGGTATCACACCCAGTCTCAATTGCTGGTTTAGGGCACCCTGGGGGCAGGGCTCACTTGGGCAGGCCAGGGGATCGAACCCCTGGCCCCTGCACCTGCTTGCAGGTACTTTAATCTGCTGAGCTATTTGGCTGGCCCAAGAGTTTTAAAACCTTAACTCACAAGGTGTTTTTGTTTTTTGGTACTGGGAATCAAACTCAGGACCTTGCGTTTGCCAGGAAGGCACTGTGCTGCTGAAGCTACATCCCTGGCCCTACACATTTTATTTTATTTTATTTTAATTTTTTTTTTCAGAACTGGGAATTGAACTCAGGCCCTTGCACTTGCCAGGCAAGTGCTTATTCTACTGAGCTATTTCCCCAGCCCCGAAATGCTAAAAATTTTTTAAATCTTGCCTCATCACTCAGTTCTGATCCTCAGCCAAACATGTGGTCACCTTGTGACAATCACAGGACACACGCTTTCAGTTCCAGTCTCCCTTCTACTGTCACAACATCAGCCCTCTCTCACACCTGTCCATCACTAGCATTCACAGTGACTGTCAGAACCTCCTGCCAAGTACACATAATACAGCATGCTCATGTTTGCCCCACTGTTGCAAAATGAAATTGTCTCTGAATTTACTTTTATGATCACAAGCCAATGGTTAGGTTACATTTTTCCCTCTCTGAACACACAGTCACAGGCTTGGGACCACATGGGAGGAAAGCAGTATTTTAATCCTGCTTATGTATTTGAAATTTTGCCTTCTAGAAGGAACCAGTAAAGTATCTCTTCCCCTGCTATGTTTATCCATTTCTAAATATCTGTCCTGTTAAGGAGCTTTTCAGAGCCTCATTCAACAAATTCTGCTTCCATCTTACCCGCTGCCTCTTGCTACAAAGTCAGCTGGGTATAATGCCCCCAGAAATAAGACCAGGGATATGAGAGCGGCTGATCTGCAGGATCTGCTCTGGGTTGCCGCTGCCATTTGTTCCCTATGCCTACGTCTTGTTGTGATGGTTATTAGATCTTATATGGCCATTTTGGGCCCTAAGGCTACTTTGAAGTTAGATCCTATGCAAAGCAGAGAAAACAGTTCCCTAGTAACATTATGGAGGTGACAAGCCAGGCTTAGACTGCCCATGTCCAGCTCCCTTTCATGTTCAAGAAAGAGACTTAGGTATCACCTAAGCCTTTTGAATTTTCAGCCCTTATCACTAGCAACGGAGCCATCTCTTTGTTTCCCCAGAACATTGTCAGCGTTGGTTTCAGCACACTCAAATTTTAAAAATTATGTATAGGTGTGTTAGAGATTGGATACGTTTTGAGCATGTGCCCCAAGCCTTCCTGTATTGAAATTTAATCTCTATTGTGAGATAGTAAGAGGGTGGGAAGTTGATGTGACCACTGGGTTTAGAGGCAGGACGTCCTGGAGGTGATTTGGCATAAAGTCCTTAGGGTGGAGCCCTTGGGGTTGAATCTTTCGGTTTTGAGGAAAGGACACAAGTACACACACAATTTCCCTGTCCATCTCCGTACAGTGCTCTGGGCCACCTCTGCAAGCAGAAAGTGCACCACGGAGCGTGGCCTCCTGGCCTTGGGCCAGCCCTGTGAGCCAAATACACCTTTTCTCTTCTGAACTTACCCAGGCTGTGGCATTGTTATTAGAAACAGACAATGGACTGGAAAGGAGGGGTGAGGTGGGAAGGACTTCGTTTCTCCTCCATTTGAATGTTTTGAGGGACATTACAGGCAGAAGAAATAACACAAACACAGCTGCCTGTGGCCGGAAGGGCTGGTGTTTGTAGGGACACGTGATCGCTCCCAGCGTGTGAGGACTTCTGCTTTTGCCTTCCTGAGAGAAGCCTCGGGAAGTCCTGCTGTGGAGGTCCCTGGATTTCAAGCAGCTGTCGTGTCACGGGGAGTCATGAACTTACATTTGCTTCCTCTGTCCTCCTTTTTACCTTTTCGTTTTCTCACTTCCTCCACCTTGCTCTCTGCCTTTCTTTCTCCCCACTTTCTTGCAGCAGGGGAAGCTGTCAGAAAGCCCCCACCCAGGCAGCTCCCTCAGGACTCTGGCCTGGTTGCCCAACTTGGAAGAGTGGAAAGCTGACACCCTCCAGCGCCAGCCAGCCCAGCCCTGCAGGCACCATGTGTGGGGCTATTCCTGTCTCCTCCGTGTTCTGATGGAGACATGCCAGCCCCATCTATAAATGCCCCTTTGTACTGGCAGGGCTCTGTCAGCTTATGAGCTGCTCTTAGCCCACCAACTACATACGGGCCTAGGAACTGCCCAGCAACTGGCCTGTGGAGCTGTGGCCCCTGCCAGCCAAGATGCCATCTGAGCCAGGGACAGGAAACATGACATTTCAGGCTCTGCTCAACACAAACAGCATTCATGAGCTGGAAGGGCAGCGGCCTTCAGAAAGGCGGACAGCTCACACTCAGGGCCTTATGTGTATAGCTCTGTTCTTGGAATCCTCTGGTGTCTGGATCATGACCAGCCAGAAAGGCATACTTGGCCTCCTGGGCTGCTCTCCTCCCAGGCCTCTGAATGCCCTCTATAGAGGAGGATACCTCAATTGGCTGGCCCTCACTGTCAGAAGTGAAAAAAAAGAAGAAGAAGTCAGCTCATCCCCAGCGCTGGAGGGAAAGTCCAGAAGGGAAGACGAGCTGGCCTACGTGTGCAGTGCACAGAGAGCACAGACCAGTCATCAGAGTGTGTAACAGCAGTCACAGACAGAGGCCAGAAGGCATGGTGAGTGTTCAGCTGCCTACGCCCTCTGGAGTTTCCCTCTCAGTGCATGAGGTCAAGGTTACCTGGGGCCATTGCTTCCCAAAGTCACTGTCCCCTGAATGGCATCCACAGGTACTGCTTGCTTATTTGTTGGGCCTGAGATGTGACCTAGTAAGGACATTGCTGCTTGTCGTACCTACCTGTCCCACCAGGTAGATGTAATGATGGCCTGGGAGCCTCTCTAGGCCTCTTCCCTTCACCGACTGATATAAGCTTGCTAAAAATGCCATCTGGTATGTTCATCTCTGACATGCTACACCAGGGTCTCCTACCTGCTTATGGTGGAGAGAGTGACAGCTGTATCCTGTTGAAGGACACTTAGCCAAGGGTTTGTAGGAGCTAGGTGTGGCCTCACCTGTGGCTACGGGTCAAGAGCAGCCTCACCTGCCCACATCCCTTGGTGCATCACCTGATGCTCCCAGCAAGGTCTCCACTGGTAGCCCTGGCACCCCAAGACTGGGTAGAAGCTCAGGGCTGGGCTCAGCGAGCAGCCCCTGGGACTATGATGGCTGCCTAGGTAAGGGAAGCCTGGGCCCAACTGGAAGTAGGACGAGAAAAAGAAAGCTGGTCCTGGCCAAGGACAACAGTGTTCTGCCACACAAGTACAAAGGGTATGGGGCATTGCCCAGTCGGTGCCACAGGGAGTGGGCTGGAGGGGTCTTCAGCTTTGGCCTTCTTCGCAACATCACCCAGGCTCTGTGGGCCTTTGCAGAGGTCTGCTCAGGGACCTGATCTGAGGTCACGTCAGATCTGAGGTGGGCGACGTTCTCCAGGGGAGACAAGAAAGGGTTGGACACAACCTCACTGCAGCTACAAGGTGGCTTCTGGCACCCAGCTGTGGTGGGCAGAGAGTGCCAAGCAGACTCAGGTGACCTGGGTTCAAGTCTCAACTCTCAGAGGTACAGTGACACCCTCCGCCCCTTAATCTACGGGTGAAACCACCCTGCGGCAATGAGATAACAGCCCCAGCCTGGACCTCCGGGCCATAGAAAACAACAGCTCCTTCGGAACGCAGCTTCCCACCCTGGCCAGACAGCTGCGCTCTGGATGGAGAATGTTCTGCCAGAGTCCTGAATGCAGCTTAGTGGAAAAGCACTGGCTTCGCATGTGCGGGGCTCTGGGTTCCGTGCCCAGGAACACATGGCCCCCATTATATCTAAGTACCAGATGGAGACAGTCCTGCCTCAGCCCTTTACCTCAAATAGGAGGGGCTCAAGGAGAAAGGATAAGGGGGACCTAATAAGGGGCACTGTGTGCAGGAGGGTACCCTCAGAGGCCTGGGGACTTGGAGGGGAGACTCTGTGCCTGGCAGAGGATGAGGAGGTGGGAACCGCTAGCAGGATGTGGGTCCCACCGACATGTGACCCAGCTCACACCATCCCCTGTGGCTGCACCAACCACTTGGGCTGGCATTGAGCTTGGCAGTGAAGGGAGGTTTAGCCCCAGCTTCCTGAGCAGGGAAGGCTACCCCGGCCTGGCCTGGGCTGTGGGGAGAGGAGGATGCACAGACTGTGCCACTTGCCAGTCAATGGCTCTTCTCCAAGCCACAGGGCACCTGTGCTTGCCACCACCTTGCTCTCATGCTCTCAGGCCGAGTGACTCTGTGGCTGAGTGAGTGGCCCATGTCAAGGCCAAGAATAAGGAGCCAGCCAGCCCCAGTCATTAGTGGTTGGCTGAGTGCAGGCTCAGCCAAGGGGCAGCTGGCTGCCCTGCCTGGAGGATGGACAAAGAGGATGTGACCAGTCGTGTCCCTAGCACCTGGCTCAGGACTGGAGTTTTCTCTTTCTGGGTGCTGAGGTGCTGGTGTTGGGCAACATGGGGAGCAAGCAACATTCACAGAAACATACAAACAACATTCTTTGGGGCACTGGTCCGGGGCAGGGGATGCAGGGAGCAGGAAGGAGCTGGCCATGTGAGACCTGGGGCAGGATACTGCATTTTGGTGAGGTAGAAAGGATTCAATGGAACATAGAGAATGGGAATTCCCTTTGTGTACACATGGGCTTGTGCATGCTCCTGTGGGTGGGTGTGTAGTTGTGGTAGTATGTGTGTGTATATGGACATGGGTCAGCCTGCCTTTGTGAGAGGGAAGGGCAGGCACAGGGGCTAAAAGCAAGGGTGGGTAGGGAGTGGGGGCACCCAGGGGCCTTCAGGAGGATTTAAGCTGGCCAGTCACAGTGTAGTCTAAGTTACTTTTGCAAACTAGAATTGATGTCAACGGTGAGTTACAGAAGAAAACAAAATTATAATGGCTTCAAGGCGAGAGAGGTTTTTTTCTTTCAACAAGAAGTCTGGACACAGGTTCCCTCTGCCTTCAGCCCTGCTGTGCATGGCTTCCATGCCTCGGGGCTCCTCATAGTCCAATACAGCATTGGAGTACCAGCCATTGCATCCAACTTCCCCCTGGCAGGAGGGAGGAAGTAGTTAATGTACCCACTGCTCATGGTCCTTTCCCTGATGTTGCACACACCCCCTCCATCAGTAGAAGGAGGCCACAAGGGTCGACCTGGCTGGAGGGGATCCTGGGAGTGCTGCTCTGAGTCTGGGAGCTCACTGCAGAGCTAAAGTTAGGAATGTAAGGCTGAGTGGGAAGAGGAAGACAGGTTGGGGGTGGGAACAGGGTTTGGCTGGACACAGATGCTCAGGCCAAGCAGCATCAGCCCCAGCCTGACCCTGAAGGCCCTAAGGAGATAACAGAAGCATACACAGACAGGAGCAGATGACAGGACCACCTTTCCGCTTGTCCCTGCCCCGTCCCCAGTCCCTCCAGGGCAGTGGGCTGTTCTTACTCACGCTGAATGGTGCACAGCATTCCAGATGGCGAGGGCCATGTCTCAGCAGTTGCTCCCATGTGGTGGGCATCCACTGTGTCTCCGGCATCCATTGGCCGTCTAGGGCAGCCGCGCCTGGTTGTGTGACCTTGGGCATGTCTCTTTTCCCTGGAAAATGGCACATAGCCTTACATCACCTGGCCTGCCATCCTCCTTGACCCCACCATGCCCCCTGCTCCCATTTACCTTTGCCCTTGGAGCCTCCAGTGCCCCCCATCTTTGGCATGGGCAAGATGGCCTGGATCCTCTGCACAGGCCCAGCCTTGTATCCTCACTCACCCTGCATCCTTCACCGTCTTCTCCTGGCATGACCCTGTCAGAGCCGTGGTCCCTGAAAACATCTGCTGGGAATGCACAGCTTGGCTGCCCACAGGAACAGGCTCTCAGGGTGAGCAGGAGCTAATAGGCCACACCCAGCAATGTCAGCACTGCAGCTGCCCTGGTGGTGGACATGTACAGGCAGGCAGGTGCAGGCGGGCCGGGGCAGGAGTGTGCATGCCAGGCTTCCCCCAGCAGTTGTGCCCTCCAGGCCTCTCCAAGGCAGAGGAGCCCTGGCACAGCCGCTTGCCAAGACTCCTGTGCTCTGCCTGCCTGTCGGCATCTCAAGCCTAAGGCTTTCACCAAGTTCTCCCAGATCCCAGCATCCCAGCATCCCAACATCTACCCAGTGCAATGGGTATCTGACCATCCACGCTCAGCTCTGCTGTAGGCAGCAGGGGTGAGGAGGTCCCAACTTTTGGTTTCTAACCAGCATGATATGTTCTGAGCCTTGAAAGGCCTCTGCAGTGCAGCATGTCTTTATGAAGGACCTGGTGGGAGAGACAGGTCTCCCTCCTGACCAAGGCCTGGATGGAGGCATGAACTCCAGGCCTGTTCCAGTGACAAGCTTGAGGCCCTGTTCTTTGGCCAGGAGGATGGAGCTGGCTGCTTAAGGCATGACTGAGACCACCACAGTGTGCATATGCCATCTTCAAAGCATTCTCAGTTCACAGACACCAAAGAACTCAAAAGGGAAGAATTTGAACTCTACTCCACAACCTGGAAGTTATCAACTAGCTTCTTGTCATGAGGGACAGTAAAGCTAAGACTCCCCAGGCTGGGGACACAGTATGAGATGCTGCCAGCCATAAGCTTCCCAGCAAAGGCCCCCAGAGTCCTTTCATAAAGACACCAATGTGTCTGCTTCTACACACACATACCTACACAGAGAGACCAGCCATGGGCCCCGCTGGGCACTGCCTTGCTCTGGGTCCTGCCTTGGGACACTTCCAACAGTCATTTCCACATAGACCCTCAGCTCAAGGTCAGTGTCAAGTAGCTGGCTGTGGATGGCTCATCTGCTCAGCATCCCAGGAGATCTTGAAAGTGTGTGGGTGGCAGGGACACAGTCCCTTTAAGACTTGTCCTGGGTAGGATCCAGCAGACAGCAGCTTCACAAACAGCTCTGAGCTAGGAGGGAGCAGATGACATAGCAACCCGGGAAATCCTTCACTGCAGAGCAGAAGGGCTCCACCTCCACCCTGTGGACAGCTGAGGAAACTGAGGCTGGCCAGGCAGATGTCTCAGACCCCAGCACAAAGTAGAATTACAGACACAGCCCATTACCCAGTTTTTATTTCAGATCTTTCTGGGCTTCCTCTCTGAGAAGATGAGAACAGCGATCTCACAGCCAGAAGGAGCCTTTGAGGCTCTTCCTGCGGAGTCTGTTCCATACAGTAAAGGAGGGCCGAGCTCCTTCTGTGGGGATGGTGCCGACATCTAAAGACCTTGCTCCCTAGTCTCTTGTGATCCCTGTGATAGTGACCACTGTTGTCACAGGCCACATCCCCAGGCCCTGCCTGAGAGTCTCCTGCAGGGAGGGTTTTGGCACGCAACCTGAGCCTCACTTTGCTCAGCTGTGAAGTGGGCCCCAAACAGGTTCTCTATGGCTTGGCCCCATTGAAAGCCAGTGGCCTTTAGGAGGGCTATCATGGGCAGTCCTGTCTCAGCTTCCTGCCTTGCCGCACGCTCATGTTCCCATCTCCTGCCTTAATGGGGTCCAACCCAATGAGGCTTGGCAGTCTCAGCTGGAGGCCTGGGGGGGTGAGTGGCGAGGATGCACGTGCCCAACCTCCCAGGTGGCTCCCATGA